TGTGGTTTTCGGTCAATAACCGCGGGACCCAACGAGCACAAACCTTCCTATAGCCCAAGCTTTCAATCATCACCTGTACTGCACTGTGCCCTATTCCAAGTTTTCGGACAATTGGGTCCACAGTCACACGCCTGTCATCTTGAATGATCACCTCCACTCTTTACTTGTTGCGTTCAGTTGAGGCTGTTCGAGGACAGCTCCGATGCTGGTGTTCCCATCTTTAAAATGTTTCACCCATCTTTGAACACTGCTCGCACCCATGCGCACACTTCCATAAGCGTGCTGAAGTCTCTGGTGAATTTCTGCAGCAGGGATTTCCTCTTTCACAAGAAATTCGATGACAGCACGCTGGCGAAACGACATATCGTTGTCGGCCATTTTGTTAGGAGTGATACTGGTCACGTGATGCAAGCTATTGACGTCACAATACACTCAAGGTTAACACAACACCTAGTTCCACCTACCACCATACTCCCTTTCGTCTGCTGTTCCCAGGTTGCATGCAAAAAAAGTTGCTCATGACTTTCCGTACGACCTACGTAATAAGAAAAACACTGCAAGGATGTAGCAATAGGAAGTCATTTGCACGCTGTGGAAACTTCCATCGCTGGCCTGCCATCAAAACAAGAGGTAGAACTGTTTTAGATATACTGCGTCCAACTGTTACCAGCGACGTATGTTGAATTTTCGCGTTACTGTTTAGTCAAAAGAAATATACGCACCGGTATTTGCTGCGAATATTTTCGCTCCAGTGATTGTATGTAAAGCGAGATGGACGCCGAAATTTAGAACTTCTGTGGTCATTAATGACGTTACTTATTTTCGTGAACTTCCCACAAATTCATCTTTATTTGCGAAATGCAGGTTGCACCATGTGCAATGTGTAACAGATGTGACACTACGCCGATGCAATTTATGCACTAAAACATTTCGAAATTAATTTTTATGTTGGTGTGTGTAACATATTGCGGCACAAATTTTCGCGATTAATCATTAGTATGGTACTAGTGAGAGCAAACGCTTTAGCTTTTTGTTTTAGTTTGTTCTTTCTCCTCCACCACCAAATTAATGTGTTCGACTACGATGAACGTAAAACGTATATGAGATTTGGGGTTCTCACAGAGCCGAATGTTAAGGGTGCGGTTAACGTGGAAGTGATGTCGCTGATGGTATGATATGGTGTGTTACCAGCGTTTGAAAGGGACAGAACAAGTTTGCTCAAGCGCTAACGCTTAATTAAATTCGGGAGGTGCTCGGTTCGAATTAGGCCGGAACCCGTGTATCCAGAGGTTTATCGTGGTTTTCATCAGCCCCTGCAGGCCAAACCCAATTAGGTCAGGATCACTTCCTTCCACAGCTCATATAATTCAGCAATCACTGTTTTCCTACCGTCCTACGTGACGTAGTCTGATTACTGACAGCGTCGTTAAATACATCGCATTTAAGTTTAAATTTCTGGAGGAACATTGTAACCCTGAAGGTGGAGGCAGTATGTTCCTCTGAAACGCCAGTAACATTCTACCGGATTACTCGATGTCACGTCCCAGAAGAACGTAGTATTAACATAAGACGTGGCTTACATACATGTTTTATCATTCTGTGTCAAATGAAAACATAATTATCCTGCTTACGTGTTTGAACCATTTTGTTTGTTCTTTAAATGTTCGTTTTTGACTCACGTAATATAAGGTATATTCTACGTGCACACGTATTTGAAAAGTTTGTGACAACACTTGCATTTTTTTTTCAATAACCACCATGGGAAGATGAATATTATTAGTCTTTGTTGATTTTCTCAGACTTGTATTATGGAAATGAATTTATGCGGCCGATGTGTTTGATAACCTGTTGCTCCATTTTTTGGCGGGGCTTCCACGATGAAACCTGCTTTGTTATTTTTTATTATTTGCTTCAATTTCGCATGTCAAGTTCCATTTTACTTATATTGTCACATGTATTAGTGACTTGTAGACGGGGTTTGGATTGGTGAAGCGATTTATTGGATACTCACAAGTCGTAACTACAAATAATTATAACACTCGCAAAATTACTACAACTATAACATATGAAATAACGTTTTCAGCACTTCAACTATTGAATCATCAATCCTCAGTCCTCAGGGACTTTCTCAAACTCAAAGTAAAAGTCATATTGCTAAGTCTTGGTTCCGAGCCTCATATGGGGCTCAAGACCATATATTTATTACTGTTTGACAGTTACGGTCTTGTTTCTGCGGGGCGCCCTCTCTGACGAGAGGACGGGTCTGTCTTTTGTATATGCTGCTGGCACTTGCCAGCGCAGTCTTTCTAGGGTCCGAGTCCCTTGGTACTCGCGACCATATTTTACTGTCTCAGATTTGAGAGTTCCCTTTTCGTCGCCTCCTACGGCTTGCAGGGTCACGGTGGAGGGATTCGACCCCGCCTCCACACGGGTGCATTCTCGTCCTTGTATTCTCAACTCTCCCTCTCTTTTCTCTGGATTCTGTATCCCGGCCTGGCCTTGCTTCATGCGGATCGGAGATAGATACCAGGTACAACAGTTCATTCCTTTGTTATTCGTCGTTGCCATGAAAACGTATGTCAAAATCTGGATAACGTGTTGATTTATCCCAGCGTATTTGTTGCAGCGGAAACGTCTTTCAACTCGTCGTTGTAACGGAAACTTATTGTTTACTTAGTCGTAGCTTATCAACGAGCGTCTTCTCTGACTTCACTATTCCGTTTTTCAGGCGTCATGTCACAGGATTTTTAGTTATTATTATTTTTTTAAACGTTTGGAAAATAGAGTTCTGCTTCACATACTTTACTTTCTCTGTGACCAATACCGTAAATTAAACACTTTTTTTTTTCAGGAACGGACTTAGTAGAACATATTTGTACTTTGTATTTTTCTGTCGAATTATCGTTTCACAGATGCAGAAAGAACGAGAACATCTAAATAATTGCTCCGGGATTAGAATGTTACACTTATCGGAAATACTATTTTTTTTCTGGCACTAATGCAGTCTTGCATGTTGTACTGTAGGCTCTGTCTACTCGTATATAAAGTTTCTGCATTTCATGCCACTTGGAAGTGCATTAAAAGGCGTGACGGGCAAACAGACGCTGCTCTGTTATATGCAATTTATACTAGCTCATTCATACAATCTGCACGGTTGAATATGTGGATATCACACAAATCTGTCATAAAATCTCCCATGTGAAGTTTTGCGTTTGAAGTCTGCATTTGACTAGGCATTGCTGAGTAGGTCAAATCTGGGTTCTTTCCTTTCTTTTCTCCATTTCCTTCGTAATTGTTTCTTTCTTTCTTCAGCGACGCTTTCTCTGCTACAGAGGTCGTATACTGTCAAACTAAACTGTGAATGCGAATGATGCATTTTTAGGACGCGGAACGGAAACTGTTGTGTCTAGTTAAGTACTCTACCGGAGTTTTCTTGTAGAGATTGGGGAAGACCACCTGAAATCTCATTGGGGATAGCCTACCTGGTAATGCAGTTTTCTCTATCCTCTTCATCTCCTTTAGGTCCAAATATTCTCAGCACCCTGTTCTTAAACCTGTTTAATCTCTGGCCTTCACTTAAGGCGAAAGTGTTTCGCATTAGCTCAAAACAACAGATTAAATGTTGTTTGTATATTTCGATCTTTGTGTTTAGATAAGTACGCACTGTTATACCGAACATATCACGTCTAGAAGCTTGCATTCAAAGGTGATCTAATGTCTGTCGAGTTTTTTTCCTTCTGTTCGAAGGATATCAGATTCCGTCATTCTCAATTATGCGCAGACGAGAAACACACAGTGTAATGGCCAGCGTGTTGTCTGTCGAGTTCACAAATAATCCCCGTGACCGGCTTCGGAACCCAGTCGGTCTGCAACCTGCTATATATAGCTGATCCATTTAGGCTTTTGTCGTCATAAGCATTTGCTGTAATTATACGTATGACCCCAAGTTGTAGGCAGGTCTACTTACGGGTCGTTTTAGGGGAGAAAGGATTTTTGGTATTGTAGGTATTTCCCGTATGTAGAGTTTATAGAACTACAGCCAACTCACGGAGGTAGGTCCTTTCTGAGAAGCTAATTCTCCGATTTTTATGCTACCATAAAATTCATTACTGTGTTTACGAGAGTCCATCATTGAATCCAGTTGAATGGAATACCATCTGCGCCTTGGTCTTCCAAGTGGTCTCTTTCCATTCAGGCTTTATGACCAAACTTTTGTATGCATTTTTCATTTCTCTCATGTGTGCTACGTGCCCCCCCCCCAATTGTATCCTTCCTCATGTGATGGAATCGCATCTCTGTCAAATGTGCCCAGCTATATGCTATTTCTAGCATAAATATGATATGGCCAGTAGGAAATGAAGACCGCGTCCTCTTTATTTTTTATTTTTCACACCATCCATAAATCAGACAAATGTAGTCATAACGTTCTATACTTGATTATTGAGGCACCCGGTTTGAATCTCGACAGAGTTCCTGGTTATCCTGACTTGAGATCTTCATGATTTTTCTCCAACGGGTAACGGATAGTAATTTTCGGTTACTGCGTTTGTGTTTTAAATTTGGTGNCCCCCCCAGTAAGTATTCTAATCATAATTCAAAATTAAGCTATTTTACTTTCCCAACCTCCTGTTGTAATGAATACCGAGAGGTCTTTCCCCAGGGATAAAAAGGCGGGCGAGAAGTGACCGCTGAACTCCATCTAGTTCCGAGATTAAGAATGTATGGAACCACACCCCTGTGCCCCAAACATCTTCATAACTTCATTAGTTAAGCACAGGAACAACTTTAGAGCTGCTGGTACGCGTAGTATTGAAGCAGAAACTGCATGCACTAAAGTTTACGGTATTGTTTTGAATTTATTCCCCCTACCGCCCCGCGCAGTCAAATTTTACTTGCGTGTCTTCTTACCTGTGAACATGACTAGTGCAAGTTCGTTATCCTTCAAGACCAATCTGCGAGCGAACTATTGAGAGGATCATTAAAGCAATCATATGGGGGGAAAGTAGCGAATCTCATTGGTTATACTCTCTCACATGACTGTCCTGAGGCAGTGTTTCAGAACAAGTCTTTCGTGTTCATTACAGACGTGAATGTTACAGTGGTGTTGACTATCGAGTGCCGATCCTGCTTTAAAATACCACAGGGACGACAGAGAAGGTAAAAATAGCAACCGATGTACTGTTTCGCGACATTTTTAAGGTTAATGCAATTGGGTAGAATTAGGGTAGCAATTGTAACGTTTGCTTTCGATCTACATGAGAACTTTCACATCTCCATACGAAAATATTAAGATTTCAGAGGGTTATTTCCTACTGAAAAGTAAAATATATGTTGTGTACAATAATTTCATCTGTGGTCATTTTAACTTGAGACGTATAATTGTTAAATATATAAAATTATTCATCGCTACGTAAACTTTAGTTCTAATGTTTAGATAACTCTTTAGGCTATGCGTCTAATTGCCGTCCTTGGTTAATAGTGGTTGCATTTTAAATGAATACATCTAAGCACCAACAACCATATTTGCGTAGAAATACGAATAGTGATGTGAGTAGATTTCTCCTCAATATATAAGAAATTATTTGCTGTAGAGTCAGTGCAATCCTATTTTAACAAATGTCAGAAAATGGTCTCAAGATTAATAGTGTTTAGATTTTACGCTGCCCACTATTTTCTTTTAGGTGTTCAATCAGATTTGAATCACAATACGTACAGCTGTGTGTATTGCATGTAGTTTTGTTGTCCATTTGTAGCATATGCAGATATACTTTCTCTTATTTTAGCGCAAATTCCCTTCCCAGCACATTTCGTTAAATGTACGCAGTATGTGAAAGTGCTTGAAATTAAAAGAATCTGTAGATCTAGCATGATACGGGCTGGCCCAAGTCAGCATACTGAGCAGTGGCTGGACGACCGGCATGAATTTTCCAGGGGTAGAGTTTCTTCTCTTCAGCATCACGTCCAGACCTGCCCTGGAACCCGCCTATCCTTCTATTTCATGGATGTGGGAGTTGAAACGGTCGGAGGGTGTAGCTGACGATTTTTTAGGCCAAGGTTAGGAATACGTGATGCTATACTGTTACTCCGTGCGGTTTCATTGCATGGTGCTTAAGCGCGAGGACATCTGTGGGTTTTATTTTTTGTACGGTTCGAAACTGTGTCTGTCTCTCCATCTGCCTACGCATGAGGCATCTCGAGATCTTCTGAACTGATTGTTTTTATGGCATTTGATACCGGCGAATTTTACTAGAATTTGTTGACATTCCAATTTTGGCTAACTTGGGCAACAGCAACTCCCATCTCTAGCGTACCTTGCTGAATAGGCGATGTGTGAGTGTGGAAAATGTTCGGAGCGGAAGTTGTAGAAAAAAATGAAACATTTCATGCCCAGTACGTTCTGCCCGTTTTACGGCTTTCGAGGTAAAGAGAAGGGAGCAGACAAGCCAGAATTATGCTGTGCTTAAAAAAAGGCAAACTTGTCTCTGTCATTTGGTTCTGGGGATGCAATATACGAGTGGACAGTCCTCCTTTGTCTGAGTTGCAAGAACGCATGCCAGAGGCTCCGTGGTATGTAACGAAAATTTTGCCCCGCTCGTTCATCCTGGTATTGGTCCCTCATGATTATATAAGAGTATTACATAGTAGAAGTGTTTTGTTGAATATTATGTGTAGTGTATCCAAGGAGAAGTCAAGGTCTGTAAGGTCGTTGGATTACCTAGTTTTCAATTCCGCCCGGGGCATGGACATTGCTGCTAGCCTCAATCCCACTGTAATATAAGGAGTGCGTATTTTTCCTACGAAGTTACAGAATTGAATGAGCCCTCAGTAGAACGTAATTTGTATGCTCGTGTGTTATGTGGTTCATGAATAAATGCATTACATACATTTGAGTATTTTTACATCCGTCGGACACAGCAGTTTCTTGTAAAAAATATGCAAATATAGATTTAAATTAAAATCTTAAAAACACTGCATGTTTCGACCTTATTGGGTCATCATCGGGTGTATTGTTTGTGCTTAGTTGCTATTTTTTTTTTTAAATATGGATCCGTATTTTGACTATACTGTATAACATGTAATATTGTGCTTCATAACAAAACTCTTTGTATTATCTACTTTATAGTCTAATTATGTTGATATTCCCCGGTGGTAAAGCGGCTGGGTCGTAAAGCTGACCATTCACGCCCAACTATCGCCGATGTCAAGAAAATGTGGCTCGGTACATCCACTGCCCCATACGCCTTCATGGCGTAGTGCTTAATTAAGCACAATGATAACTTTATGTTGATAATAGATATAATTAAATTAATGTTTATGTAGTCGAAGGTTAAATTAAGGTCGAAATTAAGATTTAAATATATGTATATATCTGTTATTTCGCTGATATACTGGTCGCTCTGGCCTGGTTCCTTCCTAGGTGGAATTCCTAGGGAATTCTCCATATACCATGATGTAAGTACAAATTTAAGGAAATTACGTAACAGACATATAATCATAAAGACCAACATGTAACTACATTATCATTACAGAACGACTCGACGCTAGTCCCACTATACCCAACTTGCAACCCGATTAAATGGGAGATAGCGCATGTGAACATACGAGAGTTCGTAACATCATACCCGCCTGGAAAGGAAGCAGAGCTACCAGTACACCAGCGAAATAACTAATAGATATATGCATATATTTTCATCATAATTACCACCTTAATTTAGCCTTCAGCTAGATATATATTCATTTAATTATATCTAATACCAAAAATGTTAGACTAAAAAAGTAGATAATACCAAAAGTTTTGTTACGAAGCATAATATTGAGTGTTACAGTCATGTTCAAAATAAGGATCCATATTAGAAACAAGTTCACCGAAGCACAAACAGTAACCTGATGATGACCCGGTAATGGTTGAAACGCGTCTTTTTAAGATTTTAATGTAAATAATCCGTATATTTTTATAGGAAATTGTGTCGTAGGATGTAAAAATACTGAATGTACGTGGCACAGAACAGGATGCAACGCAAAAGAAAATGCATTACATGGCTAGAAACAAGTCGTTGATGAAAGATGGCAAAGGATGTTAATCTTTTTTGCTGGTTGTAATCGCTGTTTATATATGAAGGGGGTTTTCCAAAACACGACAAATCGTCAGTATTTTACTCGGACAAAATCAAGGCCCCATGACGTGGGTACGTTCACCACACTTGCGTTTTAGGAAGGTGCTAAACTAATTAAGCGCTACTCCATGAAGGCGTATGGGGCATTGAATGTATAGACCCACGTTTTCTTGACCTCGAAACTAGTTGGAGGTGAATGGTCAGCTTCACGTCCTGGCCGCTTTACCTCCGGGGAAAGAATACCCGGTACCCATTGAATGGGAGGCTGGGTTGGCCCCAGAACCGGTCTGGACGACTTTGAGAAAAGAAAATTCTTGACCCTACCGGGATTCGAACTTCGATTTCTCGGTCGTCCAATACGTAACCAGTCGCTATACCGACTGCGCTGTCCCCCGGCCCACTGCGCATTAATAAACGTATGTTAAATGTTAACATTTGAATTGAAGCCATTTTTCAGCACTGCACTGCCAAAGGACTTTTTTGTCTGTATAATTTTACGTATTCCTACTCACTTATACACGTATATACATTGAATGTAGCATAGCAGCTGTAGCAGACATTAAGTTCTGTTCCGTTAGTCTCGCTTATAAAGTTAAGTAGACAGGATGTAATTCTAATTCAGTGCTCTTTCTTTTGGGGGGGGGGACGAATATCACGAAGTGAGCTACTACACGTACTAGGATATCTTGTGTCCGTCCATCTAAATGTCGATTTTTGAAACTACTGAACCGATTTCAAGTGCATTTGATATTTGGGGATGTACGTCAAAAATTTGCAGTGGTGTTCATGGTTTGAACCTGGATCATATACTCTATTTTTCCTGAATTTTAATCTAACTTCACAATAATTTTTAGATTACGTCGTTCCGAAAGGGAAACATGTAGGCTTATGAGATTCTGTTGCAATACGTTTGACACTGTGTTCCCTCCACTTCAACTTCTAAACTGATTGATTTTCGCGGAACTCGGTATAAATATTATTCCACTGGAGGTAACTCTGACACCATACTTTTTTAAATTTCCGCGTCAGTAACAACATAGCATGGACGCGGACTCGTGAAGTGGGAGCGACGCTGGCCCCGATTAATTTAGATTTGGGGTAATTTTTTGTAGAATGTAAAATAACATGGCCGTTCGAAAATCTTTGCCCAGTATTCGATGGCAGTAACTAATAAACTACTGTAGCTGTGTATGTGCAATTTTCTATGGAGATAGGTCGTAAATATACACACTGGCCATAGAAGTTGACAATTACAGACATGGGGACGGTGCGAAATTTTGACAGCCAGTGCCCAACTACAGAGTCAGCACGAATAATAATAATAATAATAATAATAATAATAATAATAATAATAAATTCGTAGGGTTGGAAATCTGTGCCATAAGAAAGTAGGTTTTATGAGTTCTGCTCGGAGCTCCTTGTTTTGAATTACATGTCATACAAAAAGCCGGTACGTGACATAAAATGCAGACCTTAGTAAGATGTACAATTTTTACTGTAAGTATTTAAGCTGGCCACTTTAAACCATTGTATCTCTAGCGTGTAGCTATGTGAAACTGTATTTTAATCTGCGATAAATGAATATTGAGGTTAGTGAAGTTTGCAGAATAGCAAATAATGCATTTTGAAAGTATGGCTGTGGACTCCAGTACATCCAGTTATACCTTTTCCATCTCATTTCTCAGTACTTTCTTCTTGAATAACATACACTATTGTGCCGCACTATAAACTGCACCAGTTGGGAAAGGCATAAGATGACGTAATTGCGGTCTGTTTCAGCATTAAATTCCATGCATTTTCCTGGAGAAACTGAGAATGAATCCCATGTTAGTGCCCTTTTTTAACTGGTTGTTATAAGGACGCTGTCAGTATCGAGCCATATAGCGTCCGACAGCGGGATGAGTAATGAATGTGGGGTGACTGGAGGAAGGAGAATAGGTAAGAGACCCAGAAGTTCTCTGAGGATACTTGCCCCGATGAGCCCAGAGGATCTTCAGAAAGTAGTGACGAGTAAACTGCGACGTTCCTTCCATAGGATGATGT